TTGTTTGTTTTCCATATTTACTCTAATCTTGAGGTGGCAGTTTGACTTCTTGTTTTGCATTATTTTTGGTTATGCATAGTAGTTTAAAATAGGTAAAAATTAAGGTTATAAAATTAATTAAATTTTTATATTAAAAGTTAAAATTATTAATTAACTATTTTAAATAAAGTATTAGTTAAGAGATATTTTTTAATTATATAAAATTATAATAGTTGTTTTAAATAAATATATTAAATTATATCATCTTAATATATATATATATATATATATATATATATATATATATATATATATATATATATATATATATATATATATATATATATATATATATATAAGGTTAGGTTCATTTGAGACCACCTATATTTTGTGAGATCGTAAGACGTATTTTTTTTTTTAATTTTTTTTAATTTTTTTAAATTTTTTTTAGTTAATTCATGTTCCGAAAATAATATTTAAAAAAAGAAGTTTTTGATTTTTCCATTTATTTTGCATTTTAAAATTATTTTTAGAATATGTACAGTGTAATATTATATTTAGAATATTTCACGTATTTTAAAAAAAAAATAGAATTTTTTTTTGATTTTTTTTAGTTAATTCAAGTTCCGAAAATAATATTTAAAAAAAGAATTTTTAGATTTTTCCATTTATTTTGCATTTTAAAGTTATTTTTTAGAATATGTCAGTGTAATATTCTATTTAGAATATTTCACGTATTTTTCAAAAAAAAAAACGGAATTTTTTTTATTTTTTTATTTTTATATTTTTTTTATATTTTTTTTAGTTAATTTAAGTTCCGAAAATAATATTTAAAAAAAAAGAATTTTTGGATTTTTCCATTTATTTTGCATTTTAAAATTATTTTTAGATTTGGTCTCACGGTCTCACAAAATTAGAATGGTCTCAAATGAACCTGAACATATATATATATATATATATATATATATATATATATATATATATATTCAACCACAATACTGTAATTAAAATTGGTTAATATTTTATTGAATTTTAATACGACAATCCTTCAAATTTCAACCAAATATTATTTAAAATTAAATTAGTAAAACTAAATATGTATTCTTATTTATATAATTACTTATAAGAATTAGTTAAACATGATTGAAATATTTAAATTATATTTTTTCAATTAAACTAATAATATGATTATCTAATATGTACATTGAATATTAAAACCTATGAATCTACTATTAAAAAATTAATTATGTGCATCCAATATTTTATGTATATTATTCATCTAAGATTAATTATATAAGTCTCTAAGTTATAAATTGTGATTATTACTTAATATTGTTAGGAATAATTAAAATATACATCTTTATCCACATTAATATAAAGAAATTTTTTTAACTTATTTAAGTGTTGTTTTAATATTCAAACTCTTCAAATTCCAATTAAATGTTATTAAGAATTAATAAATTATTTAAGTGTTGTTTTAATATTCAAACTCTTCAAATTTCACTTAATGGATACTTATGAGACTTATTTAAATAAGATTTGCTGAAGTCGAATATGCTTTCGAAGTACACGCCTGGAGTTGTTTTGACGGAGTTGCAGGTGGTCCAACGGTAAGTGTCGATAGGTGGTGTTGTAGCGTAAGGGGTGGCGTTCGACTAGTTGATAACGACCAAAGATGGTCTGACTCCTTCCACCGATGAGGTACCTTCGAAGGTTGTTGCAGGCTTGTTTAATCGGAAGGGATAAGTTGGGTGACCAAGTGGGGCCTACCGTAGGTTTTTTGTCTTTTGATAACTTTGTAAAACGTATCGGACCCATAATAATCACCGCCTCTCCCCCTCCTTTTTTTTTTTTTTTTTTTCCCTCTTTTGATCAGAGAGATATATGTACATTATTTTTGTATATTTTTTATGTACAAATTGTACAAGCATGAGCTCTTAGGTGCAATTTTCGAGATATGTTGCTCTTTATTTATTTATTTATTTATTTAAGATTGTACATAGATTATCACCAACTAAAAATGGTTTTTTTATTTTATTTTATTTTATTTATGATATGAACTAATAAGAGTTTAAGGACTCATAAAACTTTTTTTCTTCCCCATTTTTCTAAATAAATCACGAAAATAAACTGATAAAAGAGATAAAAAAAAAAAAAAAAATTTTTCTCATCATTCTGAATAAGTCACCAAAATACAAACAAAAAATGATTTGAGAATCTTTTCTTATGTTTGAAAAACGTTTTGATGAGTTGAAAATGGATTCTATTAGTCGTATGTACTGAAAATGGTGTGAGAACTTATGAGAACTTCTGTTCTTCTCATGTTATTGGATAAAACACCAAAATAAGAACAAACAAAAAGTAAAAGCTCATAAAAAGTTGTTTTCTTTTCCTCTTGTTGAACAACCCACCAAAGCATGAATGAAAATGGATCTGAGAAGATCTTTTCTGGCTTGGACAATGTTCAAATGAGCAAAAAATGGAGCAGATCTAGAGATCTGGCGGAAGAAACAAAGCATATCTGGAAATATGAAGGTTTGGGAAACATATCTAAATAGATATTGGTGAGAGCCGAACAGATCTGAACAAATAACGGTTCAAATGAACGGATTTGAGCGGATCTGAGGCAAAGTACAACAGATCTCAACAGATTGGAGGCGAAATTGAGGTTAAGACCAAGAGACGATAACTATTTGGTCTTGGTCCCACGGATGGCGCCAAATGTTGTAATATCTCATCAGGTTACAGGGTCTTCTGTGTTGGTTTCGGATCGGAGATCTGGAGGTGGCGTCGAGGTTCTGACGAGATACCTAAGAAAACATTACAACAAAGTCGTTTGCATTACTCACAGGGACTGTTCCCTGGGAGCAAGCTCCGATAATTAAGTTAGATCGCTGTTGAGGATGAACGGGTTTCTCCTAGCCGAAGAGAACCACTTTGGTCTGTGGGGCTTGTGTTAAGCCATGAAGGCTCTAGGTTTTAGACCTCTAGAAGCTCCCCCCCCCCCCCAAACACACACACACACACACACTATGAGGGATATTATGTTCTATTTATGGGGACAATTAGGTCTAAAGAGAGTTAGGTCAGGCCTTGGGCTGACCCAACTCTGACCCAACATATGCCCAGTTAGCAAGGAGTTGGGTAAAACCTACTAGGGTCCCTAGGCGAGTTCCGGGTTTGGGCTTAAGCGAGCGTTAGGCGCGAACACTAGATAAGGCTGACAGGCCAAGTCTTGACGTCTGGACCATGGTAATGGACCATACATTAGCAATATATATATATATATATATATATATATATATATATATAATTCAAGGTTGTAAAAAACGCTCGACGTTAGCTAGTTGGTGGACTGGGGTTAAGGGATTTATCGACTAGGCGAAGATTAATCTGGGGATTAATCGGGTACCATTAGTTGCTAATTTGTTGAATTTTAAAAAATTAAGGGAGAATTTCATATATGCCCTTCTTAAACCTCAAAATATCATATTTGCCCAACTTAATTTCTTAATATCATATATATCCTTCATAAACCTTCAAAATATCATATTTGCCCAAATCCTTTTTTATAATGTTTTTAATATTTTATAATCATTTTTAATAACTTAAAATTACTATAATAATTAAAAATTTTAACGATATTATCCTTACGTCTATGATAATGGAATGTGAACTTTTAAATTGTTGGAATGTCGTCATCTTGACAAACAAAAATATTCATCTTCAACCGTCTCTATAGAATGTATATTTTGATTGTTTAGTTTTTTTTGGTGATTATGTTGTAGATGAAGAATATTTTAGATATTACCATTGATATTTTGATGTTTAAAAAGTGCATATACGATATTTTGATATTTAAGAAGGGTATATATGATATTATGATGTTTAAAAAGGACATATATGATATTTTGAAATTTTATGAATGGTAAATATGATATTTAGAAATTTTATGACACTACTAGAAAAACAGCCTTTTACGACGCTCATTGCGTGTCGTAAAAGGCTCAGACGACGCGCAAATGCGCGTCAAGGAAGGCCTTGTCATAAAGAGAGACGATGCGCTTTTGCGCGTCGTCTATAGACGACGCGCATTTACGACGCTCATTTACGACGCGCAATTACGACGCGCGTTTACGACACGCAATGCGTATCAAGGAAGGCCCTGTCATAAAGGAAGACGACACGCATTCGAGTGTCGTAACCTTCCGACGCGCGTGTTAATGACATGCAATCCGTATCAAGAAAACCCCTGTCAAGAAAGGCCATGTCATAAATGAAGATGACACACATTTTTGCGTATCATAATTTTAAATGTTTAAAAAAAATATTATTTATAGATTTACGTATTTTCAAATTAAATTTGTATTTAATGTTTCATAATAGAAAATAAAATATCGTATACAAAAAATAGAATCCATTGCATAAATTTAATGTCATACAATTCTATTTCTTACAATATATGAATTTGCATCTAATCTACTATGTACATTAATTTAATGTCATACTACATTGCTATTAAAGAACACCTTAAATCAAAATTGTAATCAGATTCGACATTTCCAGCCAAAAAAAAAAAATAACAATTAATTTCTTTCTACATAAATCTGCTCCATAAGAAAACTTATGCATACCAAGATTCTTATAACCAGAGGCAAAACAATTTAGTGCAGCCTTTCTAAGTTCACCATCCCGTTCTGCTGTTAGATTTGCAACAATTCGCAGGTTTTTTATCTGTCCACTTATCTGCACCATAATCATGGAAAGCATGAGCAACCTTCAGTTATAAGCCTATAAGGTGTGCGAGTGTGACACATTAATTGAAAGGACTATCATATGTAGTTATATACCTCAGGGTAATGGTTATCAAGCAAAAATCCAACAAGATTAGTACACTCAATTTTTGTCTTGTTGTTTCTAGGATGCGGACCTTCCAAAATATATGGGAAAGTTATAGCAGTTGAATAGCTATGTATGATCTTCTTCATTAGTATAGTCTCAAATTTCTTGCAATACATGCCTCAACAATCAGATGCCCCTTCCACATGGTGAAGCACAAGTGCATCTTCCTCCCCTGACTTCACCTGTAATTTATGTATTTGTATATATTTTTTAAACATCATTTATCCAGTCAACACTTGATCTTAAAAAAAAAAAAAGAACAAAGCCTCAATAGCTATCAATGTACTAATTAAAACCCATACATTGCTGAGAAATTGAAAAGCCTTCTCGATCCCATGACTCTCTTTGATATAAAGGAAAAGGTGTATAGTCTGCACATCATTAGAATGCATATATTAATTGGTGACTAATATATTAACAACAAAAAGAAATTAAAAAAAGAAAAAGAAAAAACTTGTTACCAAGCTTGATAGATCTTCCTTAATTGAGCTGTCCGAAGATGGCAATTCTCCACCATTTTCCTCAAGTTTCCCAATCAATTTTCCTGAATATAATATCAAACCAAAGTTATAAAACCGTTTTAATAAAATGTTTCATGTAGAGTTAGCTGTTGCACTTCACCTTAGTTACGAAAGAGCATATGGAGACTGATATTCTCTGAATCACATCAACAACTGCTCCAGACCTGATATTCTCTGCATCACATCAACATCTGGCTGTAAAATCAATGAGTGTAACAAATATTTTTTTTTACAGTTTTACTTTTGAAGATCATTAAAATTTGAAGATCATTAAAATTTGAAGATCATACCTTTGCACCACATAAAACTAAAAGATGGAGAGAGCTAGACTCCATATCCTTAACAGCCCCACCTAAGGAGATGGAGTGATCCTTTTCATTTTGATCCCATTCATCCAAATATGGAATCTCTATTTGTCAAAAACATACAATCAGAATTAAGAACAATATTTTACATTAAAAATAAGGGAAAATCAATAACAAAATGAAAGTGAAAATGAAGTGAATTGACATTCTAACTTGTTTCTTGAGGATAGAGTGCAACTTCAAGTCCTGATTCAGCTGTTGTATCTGAAATTGTTTTTATTATAGATATTTTTTATATGGAAATATTGTTTTTAATCTAATTCTGATGATGAGTTGCTGAACTTTTTTCCAGGAGGTGATTGGGAAAACAGTGAATGGAACCACTTATGATGGACTTAGAGCAAGGACAACAGGGTCACTATAGAATCACTGGTGAGTGGAGTAAATGTTGCAGTCAACACAGATATGAGTTGATTCTTAACTTTGTAAATTGCAATCTTATTGCTAACTAGAATACACTTTAGGTTGATGCATATAACTCAAAGAATTTGTTTCATTTTATAACTGATTGGAACCACTTATGCTGGACTTTAGGTTGATGCTAATCTTTGTGATGCAGTTTTCATGATTGGTGATGTTGTTTAGTTTGCTAGAAAAGTGTCATTGAGTCACGTATTTTTAGACGGGGGTAGTTTGGGAAATCATCAAGTAAAGAGAATCAGGGACATTAGGGTCATTTTAGGCATTTTATATTAGTTAGTTTGTTATAATAGATGGTATAAGAGGGTAGTGGGAAAGAGAATCAGCCAAACTATCTTTCATAACGAATTAACCAATATAAAATGACTAAAATTCCCCTGCCCTAATAAGATTCTCTTTATTTGATGATTTCCCAAACTACCCCTATTAAAAAATATGTGATTGAAGAGGGTGCATAACAGACTTTCTGAGTGAGAACCTATACGGGAGACTAGAAGTTTAACGTTCATTGAACTCAATATGGTGACAAAACAAGTACCTTTGGAACCTAATTTGTAAGACTTCAATAAAAATTTTGATAATTTAATGAGTACCAGTGGTTTTCTTAAAGAGGCTAAAACCAAAACCACGCTTCGTGGACTGCAATAAAAAAATTGATAATTTAAGAACAGAAAATAATGTGACAAGATTTATGAATCTGTCAGACAACTCATTTTTAGAAGCTTTTATAGTGACTTACAGGTGCTTTTGGAGGCGTCTGTAAATCTGCGATGTTCCCATCTATGTCCACAGAGGTATCCCGTGTATGACGATTTTGCCCTCCACCTTTTTGCAAGATATCTTTTGAGGTCTAATTCGGTTCAAGAAACAAGAACATAAATTAGTTTAAAAACTGAAAATAGAGAAAGATTTGTGGACTACAAAAGTGTAGAAATATAATACTGAGAAGCACGAACCAGATTGGAGACAAAAGATGATAACTGCTGTGGTGGATGCTTCCACCCGCATTGCACTCGTGGGCTTGAACCAATCAATATTGCACAACACTGTCGCCTTCATCGTACCTCCAAATCTGCCATAATCATCTGCTTTTCAACAACATATAGTGCTAATAGTCAACAAATAAAGTAAACTAATAAACCAATAAACAAATAAACAAATCGGCCTTGAGTTTTCTATACTTGCGCTCGGCCTTCATTGACTTTTTGACTCTCGAGCAAGTAGGTTGTTAAATATGGTTTGGTCAACTTCATACATATTGGACTTGCCCTTGATCCCTGCACTAAAAAGTCAAAATCAACGTTCTCATTTTTTTTTCTTTTACACAAATCAAGATGATTTGTACCAGGTAAATAAAAAGCTAAGTGTTGTAGATTCTTCCAGAACATTAATGATTAATATATATACAAATTAAGATATAGAAAGCATTTAAACCTGATTTTGTGTAGTTGTAATAGTGGTCCAATGTTGTGGTTGTGTTGTAGTAGTCGAAAAGTCACTTACAAAAGCAAGTGTTCTAGATTCTTTCGGAACATTAACCGCAACCGAAGGTGGCAATTCTCTCATTACCCATAACCAAAACCTGAAGGTATGTATGAACCTGGACAAACATTGCATGATGAAACTATGGATTAGGGTCAAATATCAAAAAAATAGCAAGGTACTTTCATTCATTTGTTTATTATTACAAAATTCCACCCAATTTAGCAATGTCATCCAAATACAAAGCGATTAATTTTATAAAACAAAAAGTAGAAGAAAAAATGGTGATTGATTTATTTAATATAATTTAATTTACGTATGAAGTGGTGGACAATGAGTAAAAGAGAGGCATAGAGTCCTCCAATTCCCCGCCACTCACAATGATACAGAACCTGTGAAAATGAATGAATACATTAAATTAAGATCTTGAGGAAAATGACTGAATGAATTAAGCACAAAAAATACATACGGGTATATTTGTAAAATGACAAGGTTTCTTATGTCATTTTCCCTTTCTTAGCTTAGTTATATAGTGCTTTCTTTTATTTTATTTTATTTAGGGTTAAAATAACATAAAATTAATTCAAATTATGACTATACAAATATACAGATAACGCTAGAATAGTTAATATCTAATCTGACCCTTGTATACGTCCGCATTTGCTGAATTGGTTGTGGTGGAGCCCAAACACCACTGTTCAATAAACCACCATTGTTTATGGTTGAATTAATGGAGTTGAAAGCCATATGTGGAACTCCAAACCTTCCCGTGTATGCATCAATATAATTGGATCTTCCAACTGTTCCTCTCTTGTAGACCTACATGAAACCAAATAAAAGTTTAATTCCTAAGAGTCGCAGTTTATGAAAGAAGATGGAGAAGAAAGACTATCAATAATCAACAGCAAACTATTACGAACAATCATGAACACTAATTAATATTATGAAGTTTGGAACATGTTAGCAATGCAAGACAAAATGTCTAAAATTCATTTTTCTAGAAGTTGAAAACAAAACCTGAAACATTGAATTAGTGGACCTAGTTTTGAAGTAAGATATGTTATCAGCTATCAAACATAGAAACCCAAATTTTCCTCTCAATTTATCCTAATTTACACTCAATACGCTGGAGTTTAAACCTAAGATTTACTCCAAATGTTGCTCAAATAGTCAAATTTCAACATGGTTTTAACTAATCGTTAAATGTGAAGCTTGCAACAAACACACTTAGATTCATGATTATAATCATACCCCATTATTTAATTCAGATATAATAACCTGCTGAATTTCATTTTCATCACGGGCCAATACAGTCTTCTGGGGGAGCAATCGGAGCCTGAGTTAGACATTGAAGCAAACACCTCACGGGCGTCAAAAAATTCATCTTCGTTATCACTGTACCGACCCATCTTCGATTCCTAAAATTTCACCTTGTGAAAACCTAACCGACATATGTCATTGAATTAATATAATTTAGCACAGAAGATTGTATCTTGAATAAATGGAATTTTGGTTTAGGAAAAGGTGAAACATCCGAACCCTAACGCACCTAAGAAATCAAAAAAGAAGAATTAAAATAAGGGAGAAGGAACAAAGCATACCTGAGATGCTTAGAGAGTAGAAGTGAGGACTGTGGAATGATAAGGAAATCGCCATTGAAACCTGCATAGTTTTTGAGTTAGGGTTTTCACAGGAGAAGATGAGAAGATCCAAAATCGAAATCAAAGCTATGAATAGAGGAGAGATTAAAGAAATAGAAGAACAAAAACATTAGGAAGAGAGAATAAACATAGCATATCTTAGTCGGGCTAGGGTGTGGAAATTTGAGCAGTCTCTGACGAGGTCACATGAGCCCGAGGTCGCCGGAGGAAAATACCCCTAAGGTCGTTGAAGGAGAAGTGAGCAAAGATGTTGCCGACGAGGTGAGGCGAGATCATCGATCGATTGTTGCAGAGGCCAGAGAGCACCAAGTGTTTCCGTTCTTGAAAAAAAGCCCTAGTCCCTGCGATTTTGTGGAATTTAGTAGTATTATCCTTGCTTGTCTTCTTCTTTTCTTCTTAAATCTAAATAACAATCTCTATGAAATCGCAGGTTGGCTTTTTAGGTTAGAGAGAGAGAGAGAGAGAGAGAGAGAGAGAGAGAGGAAGACGAAGAGGAGCGGGTTTTAATTTTTCACATGGAATAGGCGGGGTTTTAATTTTTGGGGATTTCATTTCCCCCTTTCAAGAACGCGCGTTTTGAGTAAAACATAAAGTGACATTCACAGAGGGCGCACATTTTAGATAAAGTTCCCTCCGTGTTTTTATTTTTTTTACATGAGACACTAATCTAAGGGCACGCAATAATGCATGACATAAATCCTTAAATTTTTTGAAGAGATGACACTTTTTTAATATCACTCCCTTTTGCGTAACATAAATCACCGAGTGTCGTGGTTTGCGCGTCGTTAAAGGCTCTTTTTCTTGTAGTGTGAAGGGTAAATATGATATTTAGAAATTAAATTGGGTAAATATGATATTTTGATGTTTAAGAAGGGCATATATGAAATTCTCCCAAAAATATGACTAATCTCATATCAAAATTCGTAAATACCACTAATATGATAACATAATAGGTTAATATGGTTAATACAACACTAATCATGACTCAAATAATTTCCATTGAGATAAAACTTCATTAAAATGTTAAAATTTCATCGTTTTATAATGTTTCACTCATTATGTATGCAGAGATTAATCGTTAGGCGTCCTTTAATCAGTCGAGTATCGCCTAGGGATTAATCGGAGATTAATCGGGACCAAGTCGGAATTTTTCAGCAGTGATATATATATATATATATATATATATATATATATATATATATATATATATATACTATCTTATAAAAGAAATCTCACTATTTCTAAAAATAGATTGAATATAATAATATTATTTTTTAAGACGTTCAAATCATTAAGCTAATAGTACAAGTAGTCATCAATAAAATAATATTAAATTTTAACATGTGTTTTGAATCCTTATATAACTCAACAAATTCTATCTCCTTCCCTGAATTTCGGATAATTCAAAATTTGAAACCATCAAAAAATACATGTTGATTCAAATATCCCTCCTGCAGATGGCTCTTTCTTAACAAGTTTTTATTTTAATCCTTACTTGTAATTGATTTCATTATTTTTAACTTTTTGTATTTTTATCTTATAAATATATTGGGTGATGGCTTTATTATACCAGGTTTGTTCCTAAAAAGGTTTTTACTATGTTTCTTTAATGTGTTGGCTTTGCAGGTTCAAAGAACTCAACCAAGAGGGCCAGTTAGAGCATTGTATTATCATTAGTTTGTATATCTTGGCATCTTACTTTTGCAATAAAGAACGGTTAAACACAAGATTTGACATGATTAAGGTAGTTTGTATATTTTTCGTCTTGTTTAGTCTAAAAATGAAACCTTTTTCATCATTGGTCCTTATAATATCAAGTTTCATCACATTGACTTCCTGATTACAATGATTATTGTCCTTATTATAAGGTTCTATATAGATTTTTTTCAATATTTTAAGGTTTCAAGAACCTAAATCAATATGAATCCTTAACTTACATACCATCGTTGAAAATGTTTTAATTTGTGACCAAACTTGGATTTAAAATCACAATGAACAAGTTGACACCTGAGTATTTTCGCCTTCACAAAGGCTTATTTATCGACTTTTGAATCACAACACCTGATATTCTAAAGGTTTATTTATATAAACTATTATTTATATATTTTAGCATTTTACTTAGCAGGACATTAAATTAATAAAGGAATTAAGGAAAACGAAAAAAAAGGACTGTTGAAGATTAATGTGTTGCGTCTTGGGCCCTTTTGTTTTACAACCGGTTTGGGCTTGTCAATCCATGTTTATCTAGATTAGCTTCCTTTTTCTTAGATAAACTGTTAGGGTTTTAATATAAATATATGCATGCATGTATGCGTATAGGGTAGAGTTTTCGTCATTCTCATTGATTACTGTAAACCCTAAATC